CCCCAAAACCCCAAAACCCCAAAACCCCAAAACCCCAAAACCCCAAAACCCCGTAATCTATATAAACCTAGAAAATTATAGTGAATTAACAATAAATAAATGTAAGCTCTCTTAATAATAATTCTCTTGGGAGGTTATGCTCTATTTGAGACCACAGCTTGCTCAAAATAAAGATGTGGGCGCTGCCCTTTGCATGCCAATTGATACCCCTTAGACCCTTACCAAAGCTTACCCCTAATTTTTTCGTTTTAGAGTCAAAATGAGTTTGAGAGCATCAGACATTAGTAGCTCAAAAGAGCAAGGTGAGTACTTTAGAGCTAATTTTTACCCAGAAGCATCTTTAGTCATGCTTTTGGAGATGTGGGGCATGAATAGGGATGTTATAGGCAGGATTCCTCTTGGATTTTACATGAGTTGTGATGGCTTAAGAGTCACATCTTTTATATGTTCAGACCTTGACATAATTATTGTTTAAGAAGTCCTGGTCCCTTCTACTACTGGAGAGTCCTAATAATTATTTAGAATCATCAATTGAAGATAGTAAAGAAGTTAATGAGACCAGTCAACTTAGTTCAGTTCACTCAGGAGGTGAAGAAAGCAGTGAAAGAGAGTCATCATCAGGTAAGAATTTTCAAAAATTCATGATCGCTTTCTCCCTCAGATGTTAACTTTGCCTAGTAGCTGAAGGAGCAAGGAATTCTTCGGGAGATAACAAGGTCTCTCCTTCTGATATGAGTAGCCATTCTAATCCCCATACGAAGAGAGTGCAGATTAGGGATAGTAGTGTTCACGATCCAGATAGACCAAAAATGCCTGCCTTCAAGAGTTCATTTGATGAGACTAAGAAAGCCAAGATTCAAGTTTCTTGGAAGAACATTACAATTAAGGCTCCTCCCAAGGGTGGTTTCTGCAAGAAAGTTCCAGAGGATGCTGAGCCATTCACTATTTTGGGTAAGAAATTACTTTTGAGGATTTTCTGAATATTAGATTCTGATCCCCAATTTCCCAAAAAGGTCATTTTGTCACGACATGGGCAAAAGATCAAATTGAGCGCTTTTGAGGCAACGAAATCCTAAATTTCTGTCTGAGTCTGTCAAGGCCAATATTCATCAGAATTGTGGTCAAATTCATAACTAGAACTTAGAGTGTGACCTCACATATGCTATATCCCTGGAATACTCAGCTTTTGCGTGAAAGATTCATCCCTCTTCCATATTATCAATGCTGGTGTATCTATTGACTAAAAGTTTAAATGGCTCTAAGCTTAAAAGAAATTCTCTATGGTCTCTCATACTAATTATGTGTTGTATAGATAACCTCAGTGGAACTGTCAAACCAGGTCAATCCCTTGCCATCATTGGTGCTTCAGGAGCAGGAAAGACTACATTTTTGAATTATCTCTCTGGAAGAGATCCTAGTAAGAATCTTGATAAGGAAGGAACAATCACTATCAACGGAGTTGACAGATCTAAGCTAGACTTCGGAAAGTACTCAGCTTATGTGCAACAGGATGATGTCCTTTACCAGACAATGACAGTTAAGGAGTGTCTCATGTTTGCCGCCAAGATGAGGCTTCCACCTGGTACAGATCATGAAGAACGTGTACAAACTCTTCTTGAAAGTTTAAAACTTGAGAAAGCAGCAGATACAAAGATTGGAGGTCCTCTTGTGAAAGGAGTGTCTGGAGGAGAAAGAAAGAGAACCTCCATTGGAGTGGAGCTCATTACTGATCCAAACTTGATTTTCTTAGACGAGCCAACCACTGGACTTGATTCATTCACAGCACAAGATTTCTTCGAGAACGTAACGTATTGGTTAAATTATGTTTAGGTTCTTTCAGCTCTCGCTGCTTCAGGTCGTACCATAATCACAACGATCCATCAGCCAAACTCCGAAATCTACGAGAACTTTGATCAACTGATGCTGATGGCTGGAGGGAAGACCCTCTACCTCAATGATGCCAGTAAGGCTGTTGACTACTTCGCTTCTATTGGAGAGAAGTGTCCTGAAAGAACAAATCCAGCCGACTTCTTCATGAACATGATGAGTATCGAGGCCCTTGACGAACCAGACCTTGAAGATGAAGAAGAGCTCAAGAAGACCAGGACTATGATTGAAGGAGATTATAAGAGGAAGATCGGATTCCTAGCTGATAGATATGAGAGTAGTGAGCTCAGATGTGATGAAGATTCTGTACATCCCGAAGCAAGAGCTCTAGGAGGTGATAGAGAAGAGGATGTTCAGTATACTCCTGGATGGGGAAAGCAGTTTTGGTTACTGCTGATGAGAAATTTCAAGAATTTGATTAGACTTCCTATCGCCAGTTACGGAAAAGTTATATCGTATATATTCATCTCCATCTTGATCTTGCTAGTCTGGGGTCACCTTGACAATGACCAACAGTCCATTCAGTCAAGAACTGGAGTTCTTTTCATAGTATCAACCATGATTATTATGTTCAATGTGCAAGGAGTTATTTTGGTATTCCCAGACGAAAGACCTGTGTTTATCAGAGAACATTCAGGAAAGATGTATAGCACGACTATTTACTATCTCTCAAAGATCCTAAGTGAGATCCCTCTGCTGTTCATCAATGCTACCTTGTTCTCAGTTGTCCTCTATTGGGCAGTTGGACTAAACACAGATAGCTTCGGAAGATTCCTTGTTTTCTGGTCTTACACAATGCTACTCATGTGGGCTGCAATGGGAATGGGATTTGCTGGTGGAGTGCTTGTAAGTGATAAGAACGTTGCAGTTGGAATGATCCCGGTTATTATCATTCCTCTAATGCTTCTCTCTGGATTCTTTGTTGACCAAGATAACATTTTACCAGTTTTGACTCCATTTGAGTACATCTCTCTATTTAAATGGTCTCTTCAAGTATATGCTTACAATGAGTATGAAGGACTTAAGCTTACTTGTTCCCCAGATTGTGATCCATTAGGAGACTTCGACTTTTCAGAGAGCAAAGTTGCAAGTATCTGTGTCACTGCAGGACTAGGATTGGCATTCTACATTCTTGGTTACATCTTGCTTCATGTTGTAGCCAAAGTCAAGGCATAGATCAGGTGATAAGACTAATTTTATCTTAAAATTTCAATCTAGTTATTTTTCATCGGAAGGAATTAGAATTCTTCTGGACCAAAATCTTAAAAGCAATGAATGTAACGTCACGTACACTCTTTTTCAACAGTTAATTGTTGAGAGGGGTTTTGGGGTTTTGGGGTTTTGGGGTTTTGGGGTTTTGGGG